TTACTTGTGTTCTGAATACTGTGTTTACAAAATGTAACTTGGACTGAATACAGATATTTAAGTTCTGTATTCTGAATACATGTTCCCAATACTTCCCGTTACATCCCATCCCTGTTCATACATGCTATGAAAACACAAGTGACGTTCTCAGGAGTCAGTAGGCAACAACTCCTTCACTTCTGAATAATGTCACACATGAACTCTCCTACTAATTTCTCTAATATTAAATTTTCTACTAATATTGTACTTGGTACCATGCAGGGAAATTGCCATGACAACTTTGCCAAGTTTTTGACTCCAGCTTGCCTTCACACTTCTTCCTGTGTCAGTTACTAATATGTTCCCAGGTAAAAGTAAAAGTTTAAAATGGGTTTTTTTCAGACGCCACAGCCTTGTCTGTTTAAAGTTTTTCCAGTACTTTCCTCACCTGGTCCCCTGAAACAGTAAAGTGTGGGGAAAATGATCCCATCTTCCTTTGGTTCCCCTGTCTGTTTGTAGCCAGAGACAGTCCTCATTCTACTCCACACCTCTTTCATGTCCTTCTGCTGCAGGATGCTCTCCAGCTCCCTGTAAATCTCTATTCCCACAGAGTTTCTTTTTTGGCTCAGGCTTCACTTGCATGGTTTCTTCCTTATCTCCTGACCTGAAGGCTCTCTCGTTCTTAACTAGCAGGACCCTCTGATCCTTTGTGATCCACGGTTTGTTTGAGAAACAGTGTTTGTGGGGATGATATTGTCCACACCAAAGTTGATGTCTACAATACAGTGACTGAGTCCCTCTGTGTCGTTCAGTTTGATTCACAAAGCAAGTCCTGGTATCTCCTCCAGTACTCATCTCTTTAGAGATTGTGTTTACTCTGAGTCTAATAGCTGTACACTCTCTAGCCACTGCTTAGCATTGTGCCTGGGGATCTTAGGCTTGTGTGCAGCCATGGATGCCATTAGCCACAGGTTCCGAACCCTGGTCCCAGAGAACCCCCTGTCCTGCACATATTTCAGCTCAGGAGGGGCTTGTTAATTAGTTGATGAGTTAGATTGTTGTGTTGGGAGCAGGGAAAACAATAAAATACACAGGGCAGGGGGAACTCCAGAACCAGGGTTTAGAACCACTGCCATAGGCTCTTTTCACATTAAAACCCAGTACATTGCCAGGCCACTTTGGATCATTTACATGTGTGGCCCTTAAAAAGTATCTCAGCAGGATGCACTTGTTTACACCTTCCCTGAAATTCCTGTTAAATATGACATGACATCTTCAGCATGATTGACCAACAGCTCTTACATTTTTGAATCAGGTGCTCTCCTGTGGAAATAATAATGATAACTGGACCATAAAATCTAACGTGTTGCTCATATGTTTTGCTGTCCCTGCTGTTGGTTCATGGAAGTGTCCAGTAGTCATTAATGGCATTTAGTATTATCCTGATGGGTTGATATCACAGTGTAAAGGACTCTAATGGTTTAACAGGTGTTCTGCAGCTGATTCCAGATGCATTTGATATTTTCCTAAAAGGTGTCCTACAGGAAATTGGTGGTCTCTTATGGTAACCATTAAGCCAATTCTTATTAGAAAGCAAAACCATCAGGTTTTAATCCTAAAGATTCTAATTTTTTTTTCAGGAGGATTGCTGGTCATGTTGCATCACTTTTGCGCAGAAGCCATGCACAAAGGGTAGATTTTTGCCACGTCTCTCTAGAATCATGTTCGAAATACATTCCTATAAAGTTTTCACTCACAACAAATCTAAAAAACTCCACTGTTAAACTAAATTGTCACAGAAAAGTTCCACTTTGATGGTTGTAATCTAGGTGTTCTGCATTTCCCAGTAATGTATTGGCTTTTGTTCACTCATGAGCCATCCTGGTAATTTTCTGGTTACTGTACTAGGTCTCATGCAGGTAAACTGTTGGGTCAACTACTGAGATTTTCACATTTTGAAGCAACCACAGTTTTTGTGGTGGGAGAAGTGATAGTGCCTGTCCCTGAGTTTAAGTTTTGTTTTTGGTTTGTTTTACCAAAATTGTTTATCCTTGTCTTTTTTTTCTCATTGAAATGAGCTGAATATTTTCTGCCTCATGTAATCCTCTATGATCTTCATTCACTTTGAGTTTTGAATATTTCTTTTTCTCTTTTAGAAATGAATGACGTTCTGTTGAAAGTCTTCTCCTGCTCCTGGTGTCCACTTTCCTGCACACTTTAAATTTACCTCCACACATCAGGAGATTCATCCAACGGTTTTACATCAAACAGGAAAAATGAAATGTGAAAATATGGCATCCAAACCAAGTTTCAGTGTTCAGCAAACATCCTCTAGTACTCTCCACACTTGCAGACAAAGGTGTAAAACTTCTGGCAAGGAGAAAACTCACCACTGCTCAGAGTGTGGGAAGAGTTTTACTCAAAAAGTTAATCTCAAAGTGCACCAGCGCATTCACACAGGAGAGAAACCATACTATTGTTCAACCTGTGGAAGCCGTTTTCGTGACAGGTCTACTTTCAGAACACACCAGCGCATCCACACAGGAGAGAGGCCGTATCAGTGCTCAGAGTGCGGGAAGAGATTTACTCGTCAGAACAGTTTTCTACAACACCAGCGCATTCACACCGGAGAGAAGCCGTATCATTGTTCGGAGTGTGGGAAGTGTTTTGCTAGACATAGTACTCTCAGAATTCACCGGCGCATCCACACAGGTGAGAAGCCACATCACTGCTCAGAGTGTGGGAAGGGCTTTGTGAAACAGAATCATCTCCAGATACACCGGCGCATTCACACAGGAGAGAAACCTTTTCACTGCTCAGACTGTGGAAAGAGATTCGCTAATCCATGTCATCTGCAAATACACCAACGCATTCACACTGGAGAGAAACCGTATTACTGCTCAGAGTGCGGACGGAGCTTCAGGCATTCAAACACTTTAAAGACGCATAAATGTCCTCAGAGAGATGTGGAAGTTCATGAAGCAAGTTTGTTGAACCAGAACACATGTTTATGATGGAGGTTTTTGTTTATTGGATCTTTGTCCGTGGTATAACATGCACATATGTGGTATAGATAGCTTCTAATGAAGATAGTTGTTTATACATATACTTCATATGACAAAAGAACTAAATAAAAGCAAACTACCATGGAATATCGAAAAAGAACTCTCCATAAATCCCACCACTGCTCGAAGCCTCCTTTGTGCAGTGGACCAGTGGCACTTGAAGGTCCCAAAATGAACAAGGCACTGATTAGGATCAGCCACAGTCAGAGGGAGGTCTCAGAACAAACAAGGAGGCAATTAGGACTAATCACGGTCAGTGGGAGGTCTCAGAACAAACGAGGAGGTGATCAGGACCAACCAGTCAGGGGTAATGAATGATGTAGAGTTGACTTCAGCAAGCAGTGCACACAACTCCATAGAAATTCAAACCACTGCATAATTTTGCTTTGAAATGTTGAAGTTTAGACCAGACTTAAGAAAAAGAGGTCCTGGTTTTCTTTGACCTTAATGATTTCTATCATTGTCATTTTTTCACCTTTTTTATACCACTGTACTGGTGCTGCCCCACGTTTGTCATTCGCTTCTTTTTTTATACATTATTGTTATGCATCATATCGTCCAGCAATACGGTGATGAGGCTCAGTTGTGTCTGTACAGTGAAGTAGGGTAGCTAACCAGTAGGAATCGGCAGCGATCAGTTTAGTGATCTATGATTCAGATGGAAATAAACTCCTCCATTCTAGTCTCTGTTACTCTGTGTCAGTAATTCATACAATTGTTCTGACGGGAAACAACTTCAAATGAGAGCAAAATAATGAAGGTGTCCTTGTGTGAACAGCACCCCCTTCTGTTTAAGGTATGCGGTTTCAGAAGCCAGAGAGAACCTCTTTTTTTGAGAAAAGTACCTAATAAGCCTAATAAGTCATAGATTTTTCAGATTTGATGTATAAATCTTAAAATGAAAAAGTTAATTGTTATGCTTTCTTTTAACAAGCATGTTTTATATTTCTATTAAAAAAGAAATAGTGAAAAAATAGTAACATTTGTGTTCCTAATATGGGTTGTTTAGCAAAGTCAGTTGTTTTAATGATCTAAATAGAACCATTAAATGCTTAAATTGCTCTTTGCATGGTGCAGTCATTCTTCAGATTGGTAGAAAATGTATTGTTCAGCGTTTTCTGGGTGGCCCACCAGTGTTTAAGCAGAGTAATAGACAAAATTCCACCTATCATCACAGTTTCCACTCACAGTCCAATTTACTGATTTTCCTTCCTTCCTTTCTTTAGTTATACTGTGTAATTTAGTAAATAACTTTAATCTAGCTCAGTGTCAGCAATAACATCTATAAAATCATTTTATATCAGTTCTAGTTTTCTCTCAGTTGTTTGTAATATTTGTCTAATTTATTATTTTTTTGAAAGGCGAATTTAAAATCTGTTTGGGATGATCGCAAAAAAGTAGTTAGAGCTTGTGTGCAGGACAGTAATCTGGGTGGTCCAAAGGTGGACCAGCAGTGGCCACAGTCAGGGGCCGGGGGCACCTTATCAAGCCAGCAGATCAATGTATGCTGCTATCTAGGCTGTTAGAATTTCTGTTTTAACCACTGTGGAACTACCGAACTACTTAAGTGTTCTACCGTTGCTATGGTAATGTGTACATACCAATCATTTTTGCATTAGCTTTATTTACACATTATTTACATTTTCTCTTCACCTATGAAGTAAAATTTACACAAAAAATGAAAAAGAAAAGTAATACCTGACCAGTTAATTGGCTGAGGAACACGTGACTTGAAGCCAATCGTAACACACTGTTTTTCTTTAGCAACAGTACCTTGGAAAGCACTTTTGCCATTTTTAAAGTGAAGCAAAATTTAAATAAATCAAAAATACAAATAAACAGCACCATCAGGTTCTGTGATCATGTGTTTCCAGTTTGGTTCCCCTGCAGGCCAGGTGGGGGCGCTAATTGTCTGAGTGAGCTTCTCCAACCCCAGTAAAGCAGAGAAGCAGGAGCTCCGCTCTGGTCAGCAGTCCACGCCTCCGCGCTGCTACAGTGTTGTTGGAGGAGCCGAACAGGAGCTGCTCTCATCGAGGTACAACTCAGTTTAACAGCTCTACATTGGCTTTTACTGCACCAGCTCACTAACGCTGGGAGAGATGTTCACTTTCTGAACAGCAGGGTGAAAATATGGAGACCAGCTCAGGAGCAGCTTTAATCCAGACTTCACTGAACAGGAGGACTTACTGATACATTATCTTACAGATACATTAGCAGAGCTTGGTTGAAAATTGGCAGATGCAGAATATTCTGTTTATGCTTTGTATTGGAAAACTCTGTTAATTGAGTTTTATTTTGTTAATTAATGTTTCTGTCTAGCGTAGTAGTAGCTTTGGTGCCTGTGGTGAGTGAAATGGGGGCTTTAGAGAGGGGCAGGGTCGAGGGTGGGAGTTGTTAAGGAAACTGATCACCTGGTGGTCCTTGATTTCCCACTCTCCAGCAAAACACTGTTGTAAGCAGCAGGCAGTGCCTGATAGTATACATAAGTAGTTTGTAATAATTGGTTTGGGGAAATAAGATTGTTGTTTAATATAAAAGATCTCCAGTAAGTCTGCCTAAATACGAGTAAACATATTTCTCCAGGTGTGTAGATTACCTTAAATCCATACTCCAGTAATGTAATGTTACTTCAGTGGAAGCAGAAAGTAGAAAAAAGTACCTTTCCAAAAAAGAACAGCCAGAGTATAGGGACAAAAGTAGCAGATCAAGCAACTCAAAAACTTCTTAAATTCTGAGTAACTCATAGAACTGCACTGGAACGTCTAGAACATTCAGCATCTGTCAGCACAGGAACTGAAGTCCATTGGATCCTTTTGGATTGATCGCTCTTTTAAAGTGATGAAGCTTGATATGATTTATTGTAAAATAATAAAATAAAGTTGAAACATCAGAACTGGCTTTAACGTAGCCACCTGTACCCATAAAGCTCCTGTGTTCTAATGATACAAGTGATTATTTAATTTATTCATAGATTAATGTAAATACATGAACAGCAGTCCTGTTTTAAGAAAGGCTGATAACAGCATTTAGATTGGGAACCATTGTTAATGTAAATGTTCAGCGTTTCTTGTATTTAATAGTTGATTAGCATTCTTAAGCCCTGTTTGAGTTGTGTTAGTTTTACCAGAGGAGCATATTCTGGATATTTTTAAGAGGGGTATGTTCTGGACTTTTTCCAGACTAGTTTTACCAGAGGCAGCATATTCCAGGCTTTTTTAAGAATGTGGTTATTTATTGACCTGTGGAAGGTATGTTTATCATTCAAATTGCAAACATATAATTAAACCATTTCATTAAGAACATCATTTTTTTATGATCTGTTGTTGTTCCTAGATGCTTGATTTCACAGCAGTAGCACTTACAGTTGACTGGGGCAGATCAAGCAGGGCAGAAAATTCACAAACTGATGTGGTTAAGTTGGCATCCTTCAGTTTAACCCATTCTACTGCCAGTGTTTGTCTATGGAGACTGCATGGCTGTGAGCTTGATTTTATACACCTGTTAGCAATGGGTGTGGCTGAAACACCTGAACTCAGTCATTTGGAGGGGTGTCCACATACCTTTGGCCATATAGTGTAAGTTCGATCACAATTCACAACTATTTGTGTCTGATAGACAGACAAGTGAAGAACTGACCAGATTCTCAAATTCTCGACTTCAGTGGGACAGGTCTGTAATCCTACCGGGTGCTTAGGCATCCTGTATTCAACACAAGGGGTATAAATGGACTCTTTCAGAGGCACTTTTTCCAGTCTTAGGAAGAGAGAAAACAGGTTCTGTAGAACCCCAAAGAGCTAGCACAGGTCTTGAGCACCCTTGGGTGAATTCCGGCAGACTCCACCACATTGCCTGTGTGTAGTTTTTCCCACCTCTCTCCTTACCTGGTTCTCCTTCTCATTGTTCTGCTGCAGCCTGTTCTCCCACTACATCTTTCTTTTCCCCTTATGGTGTTTCCTCTTCAGCTCAGACTGCACGTGTTTGAATCAAATTGCCCCTAGGTGTGAGTCTGTCTGCCCTGTGATGGAAAGGCAACAATGTGGACTGGACAGAGTGTTTCCTGTCTTCCGCCCAGTGAGCACTGGGGTAGGCTCCAGCACCCCTGCGACCCAGGAGGATAAGCGGCTTAGATGATGAGTGAGAAAGAGACAGAGTTTATTTGGGAAGCAGAACACTGTTTTTATGTTTGATTGTTTTATCCACAGAAGTTGATGCCCATAACATGGCTGAATTAATTGTTTTAAATATTTTTTCTTTTTCTTTTCCAGAAATGAATGATGTCCTGTTACAAGTCTTCTTCTGCTCCTGGTGTCCGCTTTCCTTTACACGTTAAGTTTACCTCCACAAACACAATTTTTTGAACCAGCAGTAAGATGTCGGACTGAATTCAGGAAAAATGAAGCGTGAAAATGTGGAATCCAAACCAAGCTCCAGTGTTCAGCAAATATCCACTAATATTCTCCACACTCAGAAAACTACTGGTGAGGGGAAGACTCACCACTGCTCAGAGTGTGGGAAGAGTTTTACTCAAAAGGTTAATCTCAAAATACACCAGCGCATTCACACAGGAGAGAAACCATACTATTGCTCAACTTGTGGAAACAGTTTTCGTGACAGATCTACTTTCAGAACACACCAGCGCATCCACACAGGAGAGAGGCCATATTGCTGTTTGGACTGCGGAATGAGTTTTGGTGACAGAGGTACTTTCAGAAGACACCAGCGCATCCACACAGAAGAAAAACCGTATCACTGCTTAGAGTGTGGGCAACGTTTTAGAAAAACAGACTGTCTCCGAAACCATCAGCGCATTCACACAGGAGAGAAACCGTATAACTGCTCAACGTGTGGAAGAAGTTTTCGTGACAGATCTACTTTCAGATCACACATGCGGATTCACACAGGAGAAAAGCCGTATTACTGCCCAGAGTGTGGAAAACATTTTCGCGACAGATCTACTTTCAGAAAACACCAGCAGATTCACACAGGAGAGAAGCCACATCACTGCTCAGAGTGTGGAAAGAGTTTTAGTCGACTGACTAGTTTCCAACAACACCAGCGCATTCACACAGGAGAAAAACCGTATTATTGTTCAGGCTGTGGAAAGAGTTTTGCTCAGTGGAGTACTCTTAAAATCCACCAGCGTATCCATACAGGAGAGAAACCATATCACTGCTCAGACTGTGGGAAAAGATTTACTAAAATGTGTCATCTTAAAACACACCAGCGCATTCACACAGGTGAAAAACCGTATCGCTGCTCAGAGTGTGGGAAAAAATTCACTAAACCATGTCATCTCCGAAGACACCAGCGCATTCACACAGGAGAGAAACCGTATCACTGCTCGGAGTGTGGGCGGAGCTTCAGGCACTCAAACACCTTAAAGACGCACAAATGTTTTCAGAAAGATGTGAAAATTCAAGACATTCTGGGAGATGTGGAAGTTTTTTGTATCGGAACACATGATTTTCATTGAGGTATTTCTGTTTGCTTCACACAAGTGATATAACCTGTATATGTGTGGGATTTAAATAACTTCTAAGGAAGGTAGACTGTAATTGTTACATGTATCTTGAAACACATGCATCTATTGCTTGTTCAAGAATATGCTACATTTTTATCTGTGCAATATATGTGTGCTGTGTTTCCTTCTTTTTTTTTTTAACACAGATTTGCTAAGAAGGTTGTTCTGACTGAGATAAGGACTTGTTCATGCTCATCTCCAAACTATCCTTGGAGACATGACTACACTGCCCCAAGTTATGGAACTAGAAAAGGTTCCTTTTCGTGACATTTTTTGAGACTGTTTGAGGCCTTCTGATTGAGCATGACTGAGATGGACATAAACCTGAGAGGACCTCATCTTTAATGTACTGAACTTTGTTTCTAGTTAAAGGAATCATTCTCAGCTATATCTTTGAAGAAATTAGTACCATTACACGTCATGTCATAATCATAGATTTTACTCTGTAGCAACACATTTAAAATTGTAAGCATACATTGGCTGATTTGCATAAAGGATTAAACTAGTTGAACTTGTGTAAAATACAATGTCTCACATGTTAATTGATTGGAAACGGTACAAGAGGAAACAGTTGAAAGTGAACGATAGTATGAAGGATGTAAATGATTCCCAGGCAGGTTTGTTCAGCAGTCTGACTGGCCGCAGGAAGAAATCATCAGAGTCTGGAGGACCCAGGAAAAACAGCAGAATAAATATTTAACAGGAAGTTGCACAGAAACCATACCCTAAAACTAAATGTTTTTCAATATTTAGCATGTCTACAAACGGTCTGTATTACAGCTTCCATTCTTTTCAGGAAACTCACTTTTATATTTTCAAAGAAATTTACAAGAATATTTTTCCAGGTCAGGATGTTCTCTGTGATTTCATACAGTAATGCTACAGGTCAGGATGTCCTGTGTGATTTCATACAGTAATGCTACAGGTCAAGATGTCCTATATGATTTCATACAGTGATGCTACAGGTCAAGATGTCCTGTGTGATTTCATACAGTAATGCTACAGGTCAAGATGTCCTGTGTGATTTCATACAGTAATGCTACAGGTCAGGATGTCCTATATGATTTCATACAGTGATGCTACAGGTCTGGGTGTTGTTTGTGATTTCATACAGTGACGCTACAGGTCTGGATGTTCTTTGTGATTTCATACAGTGACGCTACAGGTCAGGATGTTCTCTGTGATTTCATACTGTGACGCTACAGGTCAGGATGTTTGTGATTTCATACAGTGATGCTACAGGTCAGGATGTTCTCTGTGATTTCATACTGTGACGCTACAGGTCAGGATGTCCTGTGTGATTTCATACAATGATGCTACAGGTCTGGATGTTTGTGATTTCAGACAGTGACACTGCAGGTCAGGATGTTCTTTGTGATTTCATACAGTGACGCTACCGGTCAGGATGTCCTGTATGATTCCAGACAGTGACGCTGGAGGTCAGGATGCTCTCTGTGATTTCATACTGTGACGCTGCAGGTCAGGATGTTCTCTGTGATTTCATACAGTGACACTGCAGGTCAGGATGTTCTCTGTGATGTCATACAGTGATGCTACAATCAGGATGTCCTATATGATTCCTGACAGTGATGCTGCAGGTCAGGATGTTCTCTGTGATTCTAGACAGTGATGCTATGGATCAAGATGTTTCTGGTGATTCCAAACATTGATACTTTAGATGTTCTCCATCAGTGGTCTCTTACACTGGTCATGGAGAGCTACCTTTGAGCTGACTCTAGTTCCAACTGCAATTTGCCACACCTGCTTCAGCTAATCAACCTCATAAAGTCCCTGATTAGCTGGATCAGATTTATTAAGAGTTAACTAAGAGGAAGGGCAGCTTATTGAATACAGGTTGTAACTAAACTCTGCTGGAAGGTAGCTCTCCAGGTCCAAGGTTGACCACTCCTGCTCTGTACGATTCTAGACAGTGATGCTACATGTCATGATATTTAATATGATTCGAAACAGTAATGCTACAGGTTAGGATGTTCTATTTGATAGCAAACAGTGATGCTACAGGTCAGGGTGGTGATGCTACAGGTCAGGATGTTCTCAGTGATTCCAGACTGAGATGCTACAAGTCAGGATATTTAATATTCAAAACAGTAATGCTACAGGTTAGGGTGTTCTCAGCGATTCCGGACAGTAATGCTCCAGGTCAGGATGTTCTATTTGATACCAAACAGTGATGCTACAGGTCAGAATGTTCTCAGTGATTCCAGACAGTGATGCACTGTCAGGATCATTGAAGGTCAGGATACACTCTGAAACTACACAGTGATGCTGAAAGTCATACTTACCACTTACTTACCACTGTCTGATGGCCAGAAGAATGGAATGGGATAGTTTGCATGTGTGCATGGAAAAGAGAACAAGAGTAAACAGACAAAGAAATGTTGTGTTGACCGAAAGACTGCCATTGTGTTCTGTTTGGCTTTTTGTAGATCTTTCAGTTGTGTAAGTTTAGCTTTTATATTGTATCAGAAAATGTTGAATTGGAGCTTTTGTTTCTGTATTACTTCTGCCAATGTATTTTTTTTAACTAACATTGTTTCCATTAATAGGATACTAAGTTATAAGGCTATAAATACGTCTTCTCTTTCTTTCTCTCCACCAGAAATGATATCCTGCTGCAAATGTTCTCCTGCTTCTAGTGTCCATCAAACAGAAACTGAAACTTTGTCAATGTGCATGATCTGGTTGTTACGCCAAGCTGGGTTTCCATTTAAACGTTTCATAAATGTTATGCACGTTTATGAAATTTCGGCAGGAAAAAAAGTGAATTAATTTGTGTTTCCCTCCACTACAGTTATGCAAGGAACTTTAGTTGATGTAGACTACCAGTAGGCTGCATTGAAAAGAGCATGGGAAGATTTAACTTGGTTTTTCTTTACGTTGAATCATGTTTACACCCATTCGCCATCTTTTATGATTGTTTGCAGCTCAGAGATGACAGGCAGGACGAGCAAAATGGCCCACCAAATGAGGGCTGAAATCTCTGTGCCACCCCGACAATGTCCACCTCACATCTGGGAACACAAACACACCAGACAGTTCTTGGAGCATATTGTGCAGAGCGATTTTTTAAACCAGTTTTGGATCAGGCATTTCATAATGTCGAAGCAACCTTTGAAAAGCTGTGCACCACAAACGGACCATCTGTAGGGCCAATTATTTCTCACTTATGGCTTGATACGTCATGGTTTATTCGAAAAACCTTTTTTTAATTTTGGCTTTATTCTAGCTTTTGGCGTTATTCTAGCTTTTCCACCTTGTCCTAGCATAGAACTCTTTTTGTAGGCTTTTTCCATTCAAGTTTTTTTTGTGCATTTTCAAAATTTGCAAAACAACCAGTGGATGGAAAACCCGCTAATGAGAATGTGCGGGGAGGAGGGCATGCGATGAACGTGCTGGCGCGGGAGTGGAGAGTTGTTCTGTTGGCAGCAAACAACTCTTCTTTTAAAGGTGCAAACATCAGCCCCACAGCGAGGTGGAAGCCAATGACCTGGCAGAAATTTTGAGGTGGCATCTGGGGTGGCCAGTCAGATTATAGGGAGATTTCTGCCAGCCACCCCTTTAGAACTGCGTTTGTTTGTACTGTGGAAGACGTTTCAGTGATAAAGGCACCCTCAAAGCACACCAGTACTTTCACGCCAGTGTGTAAATATATGACTGCTCAGAGTGCGGGACGAGTTTTAACTGACGGATTCATCTTGCACAACACCAGTGTGTTCATAAAGGAGAGAAACTGTATTACACCTCTGACTGTGGGTGGAGCTTCAGGTTTTCAGGTATTTTAAGAAGACACAAATATGCTAAAAGTGAGGCAAAAGCTCATGACAAAACTAGATTTACATAATGATTTTATAGGTTTACACAAACGGTTTAACCTGTATAGAAGCTCACTAAATTTTGTGATGAGCAGACACACAAGTGTTCCTTCTGATGACTCTTCCATGTAGATCATGTTTGTGTAAGCAGTGCTGCACAGCAGATCAGTGCACCACCACTCCTGTATCAGCTGAACCTTCCTGCGGGTTCTTTACTCATATATTGGAGTTTCGCTTTGCCTTTCTGTCCAGCATACAAGCAGCTCTATCTGAGTTTTTCTTGTCTTCCAGATCTTGACTTCCACAGTTCCCCATATCTGCCATTTCTTAGTGACATTTTATCCACAAAGAGTCAATGGGACAAAGGGTCCCTGTGGCTGCAGCTTTTTATTCCAAACAAGCAGGAGCTCACCTGATCCTCCTCGATAAATCACACCTGTCTGAAGGGAAATTCTGAGCTTGAAGCACTTTGAAATCTTTTTATAGCCTTCGCCTGCTTTGAGGGCATCGATTAGCTCAGTTTTGTCCCCCAGTTGGTAAAAGCCTCCTTTCTATACACGAATACAGGTGCACAACTGAAGATTATCTGATGACACCTACAGTAAGATCGGGACTGTAGGAACAATATTTTCCTGTATTATTTTAAAAAATTTAAAATGAGAGCATCATTCAGAAAACACAAATAAAAGTAATTTACCATAAAAATGTGCTTTGTTGTAGTTATGACAGACGTCTGTACAATGTCAAAACATTAGAAAAGACTTTAATTGGACATTAATTGAAAAGGCCATTGCTCCATAACACTGCTTCAAAGGAACCTAAAGATCTTTCTTTAACTGTGTACAAACTAGCAGTTCAGTAACATGCAGATGGTTACCTGACATTCTAGGTCAAATTCAAAGGTCAAGAAGAAACACATTAAACTGCTGAACTGCAGGAAGTATTTGAAAATACTTTAACATACAAGGCCATTATTGTATTCAGAATGGAACGGTGGAGAATCATTTGATCGACCCAGAACTTCAGAGAACGTCTAATGATTTCTGTGAAAGCTGAAAGTATTGTAGTAGTACTCTTATTGTATTAGGTTTTGGCTCTACCAAAGAGGGTTAAAATCTTGAAATGCCCAACAGAAAGTGATCCAATCAGGATTGTTCTCACTGTGGTATCTATGTAGATACAGCTGAGCTGCTCCCCCATTGGTTAGGACTTCAGGAGCTGGACTGAAGGCCTTACATGTTAGATTAACTACCAAAATAATTAGGAAGTGACAGAGGAACCAACCAATCATGCTCTGATTTACAATGGGACCAATTTTGTGAAGAAAAAAACAAACTATGACCTTCTGGAGGATCTAGATATTTCACTGACAATGTTAGCTGTAGTCTAAGCAGTGTTCCGGGTAGTTGTTAGGAATGTAAAACAGTGGCGGCCGCTCTATGTCAGAACTCTTTACTGTAAAACTCATACATACAAACTTAGATATGTTAATGTCTTTTACAAGCTGAACAATAAAACATACAGAACGTCTGTATTTAACATAGAATGGCCAAAAAAATGTTCTTGTGCACTGCTGTTACCTTAGTGCTAACATGCTAGAATCCTATAAGGGTGCTAGCACAATTTAGCATTATCATTAGAATTGTTTTTCCTCATTTTTGACCAAGTTTTGATATGTATTATATAAAGGCCTAGGTGTTTAAGTCACAATTCAGCACCGGAATAAATACAGATATATATAATATAGTACAGTACAATATAATACAGATATAATCAGCTGACACTTTTATTCCGTGGTCACTTTACCTTTCAGTAATGGTGTAAATACAGAAATAAATGAGCAGCATCATAGTTTCACATATTAAAAATAAATATAAATATAAAAAAATAAATACACAGATTTGTCTTTGGGTAATACAGTATGTAAGTTATGGAGAAACATTCTTCTGTCTTATATACATATAATGAACACTGAAGCTTTGAGACTCCATCTGGAGCTGCTACAATCAGGAACCAATGGCTACGTCACTCTCAGTGCAAAATGTTGAGGGTCATTTTCTCTCTTTAGTTCTGGCTGAGAGAAAGACGGTGCTCCTCCTCTTTGATACTGCGGTCCAGTCTCTCAGTTTCAGACTGCAGAACCGGTGGAACGAGCTGCTGAGACACGACAGCGAGAGACCGGCTCAGGTCCTCTCTCAGAGACTGCAGGCTCTCACTGTTCCTCACCGAGCGGTCAATAAACTCTGCGCGCTCCTGATGATCCAGCGCCAGCAGCAGACGCAGATGTTCAACCTGCAGGTTCACAGAGACAGAATCACTGTCCTCACGGCCGTCCAGAACATCCTAAACCCCGGTCAGATAACGACTACAGAGAACGTTAGAGCACCTGTACAAAAGACTTCAGCAGAAGAACAAAAGTAGCAGCTCAAAAAACTACTACTCACCTCCAATCAAGGTGGAACGGGAAATTCAATCAAGAACCTGACTTAATATCTTCAAATCATTACTTATTTTCTCAAAATGTTGACTATGTAAAAATAATAACTTTTTATCTAATAATAATTATCTATTACTTATTTTCATTAAATGTAATGAAATTTAAATATTTTTGAAAAATCTTTAAAAATATTATTGAGATTCTAAATCAATGTCATTATCTTGAGATACTAATTAAATAGTGTGTGATCCATGAGTACAAGTTAAAGTGGAATTCCACTAATTTTTCAAAAGTTCTACATAATTAACTGGTGAAGACGTAAACAGAGTCTTAACCAGTTATAATTATCATTATCAGTTATCATGGGGGAATTTTGGAAAAAATTGGTGGAATTCCCCTTTAACTAATAGCCTGTTTTCTCTGTTATCTCCTCACCTGCTGTGTCTGGTCACTGGCCTGTTCTCTCAGCCTGTTCAGCTCATCAGCTTCAGTCAAGATGATCCCGTCCTGCAGAGAGAACCACCACAAACATCGACTCAGCAAATCAGCTGACGCTCGAACTCCACAGCAGAGTCTCCGCTCGACAGGAGTAAACACAGTCTGACTCGGACAGGTCAGAACATGAGCAGGTGGCCATGTTACAATCCTCGGTCAGAGTAACTTCTCTGTGTGTGTGTCTGTGGCCATTTTGTGTGTTTTCTCTCTTGTGTGTTTCTTTATGTGTAGGTCTGTGATTGGCCACGCAGGGCGCCCTGCTGCACACAAGAGGTCACCAAGCTACGTTCAGGGCTCTCTCACCTCTGACCTGACCTGGAAGAACACCTGTCCAGTGCAGCACTCTCCACTCCACTCTGCTTCACTTTGCTTTGAATGTTAAATTCGTGACGCTTTACTGGACTGTGAATTTGGGAAACTAGGAGACGAGTGACTTTCGTTTTAGACACCTTCTCTCCTATTTTAAACCCTTTAGCTGTTTTGTTTGTTATTGTGTCTCAGGCTCATCCCTGAACTCACAATCCCAACTTGCTGTTGAGCCTTTAAGGTAAATAAACCTGCAGTTTTCTGTTTAAGTGGTATCCAGTGTCTGGTCTGGCAGCAGGTCCGGGGAGAGAGCCCACTCTCATTGTCTGTTACGGCCTTCCCCTCAAACAGGTCTTAACAGGCCATTAGCAACAAGCCACCTCACAAATCAGCAAAAGCAACGTTTTTAATAAGCAAATAGTTACGGTTTTATTGTTTAATTAAGGCCAGTTCAGCAGAGTTCTACATTCACTCAGGTGTTCTTAGTATATCTGACTTTTAAAATAAAACTAAATAATTGAAATAAATTAAAATGAATGAAATAAAATGATTGTCTTTATTAACATCATCAAACACTGATAGTGTCATTATCATAGTTCAGTAATAAAACAGTGATCGTCTCCAAATCAACAGACACAGCTCTGAATTTAAAACGCTTCACTCTTAAACTCTTAAAGATGGTACTTCAAGGGTTCTTTAGTAAAGACAGTGGCTCTATATAGAACCATGAACACTCAAAGAACCCTTTGCATGCTTAAATGGTCTCTGCAAGTTGAAATGGTTCTTCAGATTGATGGAGAATGTGCTGTGGATGGTTCTATATAGCACCAAAAAGGGTTCTACTATTGTTATGTCAAGATTGTAACAATAGGAAAACACAGGCTGGACTGTAAACAATCTGACCTGAAGATACAGATTTAAAAATGTAGTTTCCTTTTTTAAGCTGTAGTTTTTTTAGAAGATTATTATGAAACAAAAGAAATACATGCGAAGTGCTGTGTTCTACACTCAGACCCATAAGCTAACGCTCCATGTGAAGATACGAGGAAAAAAACTGTTACATAGGCTGAAGAACTGTTTTAGAATCATGTCTCAACACTCAGAGCTGGAATCATGAGGTGCCTCAAACACCACAATGACATTGTGGCTGGAATTCAGGACAAGGAACATCAGACTAATTAGTTAAAACCTGTTTAATATGTAAAGCTTTCTCAGCTGGATTGTAAAGTAAACTCAGTGGAGCTCGGGTTGTGTTGATTCTAGCACTATAATAAGCTTCATGGACACAGAACATGTTCTGCAGTGAAGCGAGTTCATACCTGGGTTCCAGAGTCGCACTGAGAGAGCTGCCGTTTCAGTTTGTTCCTCTCCAGCTCCACCTGATGGAAACCAAACACACTGAACACTGATCACTAAATACTGACCACCACACACTCACCATCAAACAATGATCACCACACACTGACCATCAAACACTCATCATCAAACACTGACCATCAAACACTCATCATCACTCATCAAACACTGACCATCAAACACTCATCATCAAACACTGACCATCAAACACTCATCATCAAACACTGACCATCAAACACTCATCATCACTCATCAAACACTGACCATCAAACACTCATCATCAAACACTGACCATCAAACACTCATCAAACACTGACCATCAAACACTCATCACTCAAACACTGACCATCACATACTAGCCATCAAACACTTACCATCACACACTGACCATCAAACACTCATCAAACACTGACCATCAAACACTCATCATTGATTACTGACCATCAGACAGACCACGAACCACTGACCATCAAACACTGATCATTACACACTGACCAAACACTGATAATTACACACTCATCAAGCACTCTTCAAGCATTCAAGCACTCACTATCAAACACTCTTCATCAAACACTCATCATCACTTATTAAACACTGACCATCAAACACTCGGTCATCATCAGTCATCAAACACTGATCAAACACTTATACACTCATCATTAAACACTCACAATCAAACACTGACCAACACTCACAATCACTCACCATCACTCATTAAACACATCATCAAACACATCAAACACTCACCATCAAACACTGTCCATCAAACACTCACCATCAAACACTGTCCATCAAACACTGTCCATCAAACACTCACCATGCACTGATGTAACACATCTGTCCTCCTCTGAGAGCTGAACTCTCGCTGTTACTCTACAGTAAAGTAGTAAAACACTCTGCCAGGTTTAACCACAGTCACTGCTTCTCCTGCCTCACTGCACACTGAGCTCTGCTCTTATCCACACTAACACATCATCATTACAGGCTCTAACAGTCTCTGACCTTCATGGTTCTCTGTGGTTCTCTAACAGCAGGGACTGGTTCTCACTGGAACACTGACTGACTCTCACTGATCTGTTTCTCAGTGTTTCTCCGATCGGCTCTAACAGTCATCATTGTTAGAGATTGTTGTGTTATCGTTTGTCTGGTGAGGACCTGAGGACGTTTTTCTTGGCGATGCTCATGGGGACCTGTTTATTCTGTAAAGCTGCTTTGTGACTGTAATTGTACTGATATCTGAGCTGGACTGCAGTGAGGTCAGGTGTGCAGGAAGGCGGTGTACCTGCTGCAGAGTGAGGCGGAGCTGCTGTCTCTCAGTCTTCAGCCTCTCTATGCGCTGCTCCTGACGGCCGTTTCTCTGCTGCAGCGCCCTCTGCTGGAGCTCCAGCTGAGCGACGGCTCTCTGCAGGGCTGTGACTCTCTCCACACTCTCCTCCTCACAGACCTAACACACACACACAGCACTGATTACCCCTCACTGATACACGACTTCAAAAAATAATAAAATATATAATAAAATTGTACAAAACAAATTAAAATTAACTTAAAACAAATAGAATTAACCCACATTATCTACTAAAATGATGCAGATAATCCTGATTGATTATTTTCTTAATTTGAAAAAAAGAAAATAGAATAAGGGACCTGATGTTAACGCGTCCTCACCTCGCTCTGCGTCCTGCCGTGTTTCTCCTTCTCCACCTGCTGTAATCTCTCCTTATACTCAATCAGTTTCTCCTCCGTGTTCTCCAGAGCGCTCCTCATCCTCTCCCTGTCTCTTCCGAGCTCCTCCACTCTCTCTCTCAGAGAAAACACCTCTAACTCTCTGTCTCTCAGCCGGTTCTCCACCCGCTCCCAGTCCTCACCCTGCAGGGCCGGTTCCTCTGCTCCCTGTTCCTCCGGCGCTTCACTCGTCCCCTCGTTCTCCTCTGTTCTCTTCTCCTTCATCTCTTCTACCTCCTTCTCCCTCTCTCTCACCTCCTCACTGAGGAGTTTAACTCCTCTCTCCTTCTCCTCCAGATCACTCTGCCTTTCCTTCTCCTCCTTCTTCAGCAGCTCCATCTTCTCCTCCAGGTCTCTCAGCTGCTGGTTCCTCTCCTCCCCTCTGATCCTCAGCTCCTCCACATCTCTGGTCTTCTCCTCCACCGCCTGGCTCAGATCGATCCTCCGTTCCTCCAGTTTGTTTATTCTGCCTCGTTCTCTGACTGACTCGCCATCTTTCTGCTTTAATATTGACTCTAAATAGTTCAGATGTTCTTCAAAGTTCCTCCTCTGTTGTTCTCCACTGTTCTTCTTCTCCTCCTTCAGTTCAGACTCTCGCAGCTGCAGCTTCTCCCGAAGGTCCTGATTCTCCTTCTCCAGGCTGTGAACCCTGAGGGTGAGGGAGGAGGGTAAGGCACACTTAAAAAGATGGTTCTTCAAGGGTTCTTCAGTAAAGAAAATGGTTCCATATAGAACCATGAACACTCAAAGAACCCTTCGTATGATTAAGTGCTTCTTTGCATGGTGAAATGGTTTCTCAGATTGATGGAGAATGTGTTTTTGAAAAGGGTTCTTTATAGCTTAAAAAATGGTTCTTTCATAATTACAACAATAGCAGAACCCTCTTTGGTGTTATACAGAACCCTCTTCAAAAAAAGTTTTGATCAATCTGAAAAATAATTTTATGATGCAAAGTAAATATCCAGAATTGGTCATATTTGAAAACTGCAGATTAAACCTACACTCTTAAAGATGGTTCTTCAAGGGTTCTTCAGTAAAGAAAATAGTTCTATAAAGAACCATGAATCATCAAAGAACACTTTGCATGATTAAGTGGTTCTTTGCATCATGAAAGGGTTCTTAGGAATGTGCTGAAGACAGTTCTATGTAGAACCTTTTTGAAAAGGGTTCTATATAGCACTCAAAAGGGTTCTTCTATTGTTACATTGCCTATTATTGTATATGATAGAAGAACGCTTTTGGGTGCTATATAGAACTCTTTTCAAAAAGGTTCCATCTACAGCACATCCTCCATCAATCTGAAGAACACTTTCTTGATGCAAAGAACCACTTAATCATGCAAAGGGTTCTTTGAGTGTTCATGGTAGATATTGTTTTTCTTGCTTAAAGGGTTCTCTGCATGGTGAAATAGTTCTTCAGATTGATGGAGAACGTGTTGTATATGGTTCTATATGGCGCAAAAAGCGTTCTGCTATTATTATAAATGATCAATGTCAAGCTAACAGTAGCAGAACCGTTTTTGGTGCAATATAGAACTATATACAGCTTGTTCTCCATCAATCTGAAGAACAATTTCACCAGGCAAAGAACCATTTAAGCATGCAGATGGTTCTTTGATTGACCTTTGAAGAACCACCTTTTTTAAATGTGTACATTAGAAATAAATTTGATGGTTTAGGGTTTATTTTGTTAGAGGGTGGCGTGACAGGAACTGAAAAGGTTCTACTAGGGAACCTTTATCAATCTGAACCAAACCAACTTGTGTAGCTCTATAGAACCAAGAACATTTAGATAACATCAAAAATCACCCAGAGGCTGAAAATATGTGAATTATGAGATTCTCTTCCTCGTCTCACCTGAGCTTTAGATCTTCTGCCTCCTGACGAGCTGCCCTTGAGTCCTCCTCTCTTCCTCTCATCAGTTCTTCCTTCTTCTCCTTCAGAACGTTCCTCAGACGTTCTCCTTCGCGGTGGCTCTCCTCCAGGAGCTCCTTCAGAATGACCATCTCCTGCAGTCCAGCCTTCAGACCTTCTCTTATCTTCTTATTCTCCTCTTCTCGCTCCTTCACCCTCACTTTCTCCACCTGCTGGTTCTCAGACAGCGACGTCACCTCCTGCCTCAGGGTTTCCACCTTTTTGGCCATCTCCTCCTTCTTCTCCCTAGCCTCCTTCACCTCCTCCTCTTTCTGTTTCAGACACGAACCCATCCTCTCCTTCTCTCTCAGGTTCTCCTCCCTCAGAGCGCCGATCTCTCGCTCTTTCCTCTTTACTTCCTCCTCCAGGTGGTCATGTTCTCGCTGAAGTTCCTCTAGTCTAGACCTCACATTCTTTTCTTGCGCTCTCCGTTCTCTCAGCTGAACCTCCAGCTGCTTCACCTCTCCGTCCATCTGGCTCAGAGACGTCTTCACTCGTTCCTTCTCTTCTTCTCCGTCCTCCACTCTCATTTTCAGCCTCCTGAGTTCTCCGTCGCTCTCCCTCAGCAGGCGCGACTGTCTCGCTAACTCTCTAGAACGTTGGTCCAGTTCTTCTCTCAGCGCTTCCACTTCCTCCATCAGCCTCTCGCTCTTCTCCTCCACCTCTCGCACTTTATCTTCTCCTCCATCTCCTCTGGTCTTCTCGAGGTGGAGTCTGTGTTTACAGCCTGAGAGCTCTTTTTCCTTCTCTCTGCGCAGAGTTCTCTCGTTCTCCAGCTCAGACTCTGCATTCCTCAGGTTCTCCTGAAGTTTCTCCATCAGATTCTTCGCCTCGTCCTGCTTCTTCTGCATCTTCTCCTTCTCTTCCTTCTCTTTTCTCTCCATCGTTTCTTTCAGTCGGAGTGTCTCCTTATCCCTCTCTCTCACAGCTCTGCTCTGTTTGTGGAGCTCTTCTTCTCCTTCTTTCACTTTTCTTTTTGTTTCTTCGTTCTCTCGCTCCAGCTCCAAAATCCTCACCTTCATCTCCTTCAGCTTCTCCTCCTTCAGTTTAATCTCTCCTTTCAGCTTTTCCTCTCTCTCCTTCCTCTCCACATCCCCTCTTTTCCTCCTCTCCTCCACTCTCATCGTCTCCTCATCCATCTTCTCCACCAGCTTCTTCCATTTCTCCTCTTTCTCCTTGATCCTCATCCTAAATTCCTCTAATTCAGCGCGCAGTCTATCCACTGCCTTGTTCTTCTCCTCCATTATTCCATCCATCCTGCTCCTGAGCTCCTCTATCTCTCCATCCCTCCTCTTTACCTCTCTTTTCATTCTGTTGTCTCCTTCTTTCTGGTCTTCCTCCATCCTGCTCCACTCTGTAATCCTCTCTTTCTCTCTCTCCTTCAACCGTGTGTTTTCCTCCTCCAACACCATCACTCTTTCTTCTAATCTCGCCTTCTCCTTCACGTCCCTCTCTAATCCCTCCATCTCTCCCTCTAATGACCGGACTGTAGACCGCAGCTCTTCATTCTTCTCCTCTTTCTTCTCTACCTCCTCCTCTCTCTCGCCCAGAAGCTTCGTCAGCTCATCCCTTTCTCCTTCCACCGCTCTGAGCTCATCCCTCTCTCTCTCCACTCTCTCCAGCAGCATTCGGTTCGCTCCCTCCTTCTCTCTCTCCATCTCACCTGCTCTCCTCTTCCACCGCTCCATCTCATCCCTCGCTTCTCTGGCCGTGAGTTCCAGATCTTCCTTTTCTCTCGTCCAGTTCTTCTGCAGGTTCTCCGTCTGCTCCTCTCGTTCCTCCAGCAGCCTGGAGACGCGTTTCTTCTCCTTCATCACTTCTTCCACTCGTTCTTTCAGCTCCTCCAGCTCTGTGTCCTTCTCTCTCAGCTCTCTCTCTTTCGTCTCCCTCTCTTTCCGCCGTTCTTCCTCCTTCAGCTCCTCCAGAGTGGCCACTCTTCTCTCCAGCATCTCTCTCTCTTTCTCTCCATCTTTCAGCTGAGCTCTCACTCTTTCTATCACTCCATTCTGCAGTTTCACTGTGCTCATGTACTCGTCTATCTCCTTCTCTTTCTTTTCTATCTCTCCTTCCCTCTCTCTGAGGAGATCAGCCATCTCAGCCTTCTCCATTTCACTCGTTTTCACGTTTTCGCTCTCTTGCTCCACTCGTTCTAGGAGCCTCCGGTTCTCATCCCTCGCTTCTCTGGCTGCGAGTTCCAGATCTTCCTTTTCTCTCGTCCAGTTCTTCTGCAGGTTCTCCGTCTGCTCCTCTCGTTCCTCCAGAAGCCTGGAGACGCGTTTCTTCTCCTTCATCACTACTTCCACTCGTTCTTTCAGCTCCTCCAGCTCTGTGTCCTTCTCTCTCAGCTCTCTCTCTTTCGTCTCCCTCTCTCTCCGTCTTTCTTCTTCCTCTGTCTCCTTCAGCTCCTCCAGAGCGGCCAATCGTCTCTCCAGCATCTCTCTCTCTTTCTCTCCATCCTTCACCTGAGCTCTCACTCTTTCTATCACTCCATTCTGCAGTTTCACTGTGCTCATGTACTCATCTAACTCTTTATCTTTCTTTTCTATCTCTTCTTCCTTCTCTTTGAGAAGATCAGCCATCTCTGCTTTCTCCATTTTGCTTGTTTTCAGGTTTTCACTCTCTCGCTCCACTCGTTCTAGGAGCCTCCGGTTCTCTCCCTGGACCTCCTCCACTCTCTGCTTCCATCTCTCCATCTCATCCCTCGCTTCTCTGGCCACAAGTTCCAGATCTTCCTTTTCTCTCGTCCAGTTCTTCTGCAGGTTCTCCGTCTGCTCCTCTCGCTCCTCCAGAAGCCTGGAGACGCGTTTTTTCTCCTTCATCACTTCTTCCACTCGTTCTTTCAGCTCCTCCAGCTCTGTGTCCTTCTCTCTCAGCTCTCTCTCTTTCGTCTCCCTTTCTTTCCACCGTTCTTCCTCCTTCAGCTCCTCCAGAGTGGCCACTCTTCTCTCCAGCATCTCTCTCTCTTTCTCTCTATCTTTCAGCTGAGCTCTCACTCTTTCTATCACTCCATTCTGCAGTTTCACTGTGTTTATGTACTCGTCTATCTCCTTCTCTTTCTTTTCTATCTCTCCTTCCCTCTCTCTGAGGAGATCAGCCATCTCAGCCTTCTCCATTTCACTCGTTTTCAGGTTTTCGCTCTCTTGCTCCACTCGTTCTAGGAGCCTCCGGTTCTCATCCCTCGCTTCTCTGGCCGCGAGTTCCAAATCTTCCTTTTGTCTCGTCCAGTTCTTCTGCAGGTTCTCCGTCTGCTCCTCTCGTTCCTCCAGAAGCCTGGAGACGCGTTTCTTCTCCTTCATCACTTCTTCCACTCGTTCTTTCAGCTCCTCCAGCTCTGTGTCCTTCTCTCTCAGCTCTCTTTTGTTTATTTCCATCTCACTCCGTCTTTCTTCTTTCTCTGCCACCTTCAGCTCCTCCAGAGCGGCCACTCGTCTCTCTAGCATCTCTCTCTCTTTTTCTCTCTCTTTCAGCTGAGCTTTCACTCTTTCTATCATTCCATTCTGCAGTTCGACAGTGTTCATGTACTCATCCAACTCCTTCTCTTTCTTTTCTATCTCTCCTTCCCTCTCTCTGAGAAGATCAGCCATCTCAGCCTTCTCCATTTCACTCGTTTTCAGGTTTTCGCTCTCTTGCTCCACTCGTTCTAGGAGCCTCTGGTTCTCTCTCTGGACCTCCTCCACTCTCTCCCTCCATCTCTCCATCTCATCCCTCGCTTCCTGCTGCCTTGTCTCGGCCGCTCTCTGCTCCGAGCCGTGTCTGATCTGTAGTTGCTCCGTCTCTGTCGTCTTTTTGTCCATCAGCTCAGACAGCTCTTTGTTTTCCTTCATCAATCCCTCCATCCTGTTCTTCAGGGCCTCCATCTCTCCGTCCTTCAGCCCCAGCTCGGCGCTCAGCTCCTCTCTCTCCCTCTGCCACGTCTCCCTCTCTCTCTCCTGCTCGGCCTCCTTCATCCTGAACTGTTCAGCTTCTCTCTGCAGCTTCTTCACCTCCGCCTCGCTCTCCTCCCTCTCTGTCTCACTCCTCCTCCTCTCCTCCCTTGCTCGCTCTCTCTCCTCCTCCCTCAGCGCTGACTCTCGCTCCAGCTCCGCCCGAACGCACTCAACCTCACCTACACACATCAGAGAACATCACTTAATCACGGCACACCCACTGAAGCACTGGAGTAATTAAAGCAATAGATCAGCAAACAAAGTTTTCCCATCATTTTCCCAGTTTTCCCTGCAGTTTTCCCAGTTCATCAGCCGAGACGTGTTCGGTGTCCCGAAGTTTGCTTCTTTAGCTTTAGCACTGCAGCTACAAGGCTAATGTAGCTAATAAGTAATGGAAGCTTACATACACCAATTAGCATGGTGCTCACTGCCTACATCATCTCACACTGGACTCAAATGTGTCAGTGGATTTTGATTCTTCCTCTAAATTTCCACTCCACCTTAAATGGTGCAGCAGTTAGATTCTGGCGCCTCGGGCCAAACTGTGAAATGTTATGGTCAGTTGTACCGGACAATAGACAATGTTGACTAACCGCTAATTGGTAAGTATAAGCTTCCATTACTCGTTAGCCACGTTAGCCTCGTAGCTGCAGTGCTAAAACTACAGAAGCAATCTTCAGACTCCAAACACATCCTGGCTGACTGACTGCATCTGGAATAAGAAGGGAACCTGGGGGGGATGTTCTGGCTTTAAAGGGTGGGTTCTCACCCTGAAGAACGTCTTTGGCCTGCAGCAGCGTGTGGACCTGCAGCTGGAGCTGTGAGCGCTGAACCTCCACAACGGAGACACCATCCTGAAGAGCACCCAGCTGCTGCTGCAGACTCGCCCTCACATCCCTACAGACATCATCATCATCATCATCATCGCCAGCATCATCATCAACAATATAATAAACAATATTAACAATACCATCAACATCATTAACAACAATATTAACATCAGCTTCAACATCAACAGCATTATTAACAACATTAGCAACAACAATGACAACAACTGTAATGTAAAACTCAAACTTTCTCAAAGCAGCTATTTTTAAACATCACACGGCTTCACCTGAAAATATGAACTGGAATCATCTGAAGATGAAGAATATTTAAATCATTTATTTCGTGTTTGGTTTCAGCTCCACTCCAACAGTGTTTTGCTGCGTCTCGCGAGATCCGCTGTCTGATCTCGCGCAGACTGAGAAATCCGATAGAAATCAGAGTGAGAGTTTACCTGCACTGAGAAACCTCTTTATCAGATTTCTTAATCGGATTTCTAGATCGGAGTATGGTGTTTACATGACTATTTGAATAATCAGATAACTGCAGAAATCCGATTAAGATTGGATTATTGAGCGCATGTATGCGGTACTCTCCACTCCGCTCTGCTTCACTTCACTGCCATTGTTAAGTGTGTGAACGTGGGAAAGCTGTTGATGAGGGACTTTAGTGTTGGTTAGCTGTTCTCCTCTTCTTAACGTAGCAAGTTATGGTAGCTTTACTTACATCTGTTTCTTTTGTTTTCAGGTTCATTTAATTTAAAACTTATTAAGCAGTTTTAGTAACTAGTTCTTTGTTAGTTGTTTTGACGTGTGTCCCATCACCCCATTCAGACACCCCTGTTTAAAGGGGAACTCCACCCAATTTAGCTAATTATTTAACCTGTTAACTGTGGCCCCATTTTTGCCTGAAATGGCATACGCAAAGCAAAGCAGCGCTGTTCCCACATACTCTGGGCTACAGTCCTGACCTGGTCTCATTTGAAAGGATATAATACAGGGTGATTCAAAAAGATTAATCAGATTTCAAAGCGCCATATTTTTCCAACTGTGAGGCGCCGAGGAACCAATCACAATCCAATTGAAAGAGGGGATCATAGAGTGTCTGACTGTCAGTGGAAGATGTTCTGGATGATGGTGTTTCTGTGGTGGCGTAGAGGCTCTGAAGGTGACGACACACAGATCTGCTAGCGTTTGATCTTTCAGTGCTTATGATGCAAATGAGACGATCGTCACTGCTGTGAGTAACAGATGATAAAATGGTTTGAGGGAATCGAATCCTGAGATTTCAAGCTTTCTAACGGTGAATTGCACCATTAATGCTGGATGATCTGAGGCACAAAAAGAACTGTTCACAGTGGTGGTGATAGGAACCAGACGTCCACCTCTAAAAGCTCCCTCACAGAAAGTTCCTACATGAAATGGTTATGAATTCACTGCCTGATGACTGAGACACTGTTTTATGATAGTTTGGAGAACTTAAACTCCATTCATGGTGGAGGGATACATGCAGGGCGCTGTGAGGCAAAATAGTCCCCAAAGAAAACTTATTATTTCAGATTTTCCACTATTTTCCATCATCAACATTCCATATAAACTCAGAAGACTCGTGTAGGTTCACTGGTGGTTCTGGATAGTAAATAAAATGTCTATATCTGTGTTGTAGTCATGGCGACCCCTGGTTCCTATCACCACCACTGTAAAGACATCTGAACCATTTCACACCAAACCACTCTGAATCTCTCTGTTTACATCTCACACACTGAGTTATGGGGGAATTTTGAAAAAGTGGTGGAATTCCCCTTTAAGAGCTTGCAGGTATTACAGAGTCTCCCAGATATGAATAACACAGACAGACAGACAGACAAACCGAGAGACAGACAGGTAGGTGTACCTGAGCTCCTCTGTGTGCTGCTGTATCTCCTCCTTCTCTCTCTCCACAGCGCTCACCCTCTCCTCCAGCTGATCTCTCTCTCTCTCCACCTCCTCTCTCTCTCTCTGTGCTCTCCTCTCTCGCTCCACCGCTCGCCCCAGCTCCGCCTCAGCTTTACACAGCTCATCACACACCGCCCTGTACTGACCACTCAGCTGACCCCACACACACACACACACACACACACACACACACACACACACACACAAATACACGTACATACAGGGCAATAGGACAATATTTACCATTATCGTGAAACATTACATCACAATTAGTCACAATATTCTTTATGCTTAAATGGAGCATTTCTGGTGGTCGTTCATCATGAAATGGCACATTGTAAAGGTTAGCTGGCTAGAATTTTTTTTTAAATTCTGTAAAAAAGTACAAAACCATACGAGGTTTTCTTCCGACAGCAGCATATATATATATATATATATGTGTGTGTATGTATACACACGTGTGTGTGTGTGTTTGAGTGAGTGATGGTAGGAATGCATGTTTTATTTATTTTATTTTGTTATATTTTATATTTATTTTATTTTATTCATTACATGTAAATGTCTGATACTGTGCACTGTGAGCTCCTCTAACCAGAACCAAATTCCTTGTATGCGTAAGCATACCTGGCCAATAAAGCCTGATTCTGATTCTGACATACATACATACATACAGACACACATAAAGCATAAAGAATGAAATAATTGAAATCTCGTTACTTTATGACCGAATGTAAAATTAGTATTAGTGACGGTTTTCATGTCAGTCAGTCCCTAAACACAGCACCCCCCCCGCCCCCCAAACACCCTGCCTCCTCTGTACCTGATCATTCCTCTCTCTCTCCTCAGTCAGAGCGGAGGTCTCTCTCTCTCTCTCCTCTCTCAGAGTCTCAATGTCTCTCTGCAGTTCTCTCTCTCTGTCTCGGAGCTGCTGAAGGACGTCCAGCTCCGCCTCCCTGCCAGCCCTGAAACACACATACACACACACACAGACACACACACACACACACACACACACACAGACACACACACACACACACACACACACACACACACACACAGACACACACACACAGACACACACACACACACACACAGACACACACACACACACACAGACAGACACACACAGACAGACACACACACACACACGTTTAAGCGACAGTTCAGAAATAATCATTTTTAGATTATATCAGACTTGCATACATACAGACATTCAGCTCTGCACATGCTCAGAAACCCACACGTCTCTTCAGCTCCTTTCACGCTGACTCTGCATTATTCTGTCTGTTATTTGAGTTTAATCCTTGTTATCAGTCTGTGTTTGTCTGGTCTGTTCAGTGTGTCTGTCATACGTGTGACTCAGCAGCACTGATTCCTTGTGTGTGTAACGTGATTGTCTGATTTTTGATGATTAGCCTCATTCGATGTTTATGTGCACGTCTCTGTTAATGTCTGTATTTTTATTATTTGTGAACTTCTTGTTATTATGTTAATAATTTCACTCATATTTTTATGACTTAATATGCCGTTACTGGTCCACTACGAACTACTGGACCCCCCTGAGCACAGGCCTGCGGACCACCAGAGGGCGCTTCACAGCCCACTGACGGCTAAGAAACTCTGTATTGTACTGTTTTTCAGGTGTTCATGATCAGCTTTGGACTGCAGACAGGTGTCTGACCTTAACTCTGCCGTTTCCGTGGTAACGGCCTTCAGCTCCCTCTGCAGTGCCGCCACCTCCGACCCCAACGTCTGTAGCTGGATCTGAGCTTCAGACGCCTCCTCCTCCAGCTGGAACACAGACAAATACAGACACAGACACAAATACAGACACATCAGACACAAACACAGACAGACAGACACATCAGACGTCTGATCTTCACTGTTACTTCACAGTGTGCTGATTAAACTCCCTTTAAAGCTTTAGTGTATCGTAAAGCAGCTCTGAGTTGATAAACTGGGTATATTTATCTTCAACACTCATCTTCTTCACAGTGTCTTTGGAGAGAAAAGGGGCGTGGCCTTTTTATTACCATGGCAGGACTTTTCAGCAGCTTCTCCTTCAGTATTAGTTTTTATAGTTTAAATAGTTTTCAGTACTGAACAGAAATAGAAACGCAACACTTTCTGTTGAAGAGATTTTACTGGATCTTTATATGGATGACAGAAGATCGCAAGATCAAACCTGCAGTATGCGGGTGTTGAGCTCTCTCTTATCTAGAACCAGAGCTTCATTTAAGGAGGACATCTTCTCCAGAGCATCTCTAACATCTGCAGCCTCTCTCTTCAGCAGAGTGTGAGCAGAGGAGAGAGACACCAGAGACTGACGAGCCTGAGAGAGAGAGAGAGAGAGAGAGAGAGAGAGAGAGAGTGAGAGAGCGAGAGAGTGAGTGAGCGAGAGAGAGAGAGAGAGAGAGAGAGAGAGAGACAAACAAATAACAAATAAACAACATAAGGACGAAAAATGAACAGCTGCTTATCGTGAACATTTAATTTTCATTCCCAGCAGTTATGATGAGGAGAAACACCACAGAACCTGTTCTGACTGTTCTAAAGGGTTCCCAAATGTTTAAAAGCTCAAGCAGAACTGCAGTCCACAGCGGTTCTAGAGACCAGGAGCTTTTGGGGGTGATGGAGCTACAAACTCGATCAGATCATTTTCACCCACAAATGGCACCTTCAGGCATA